CCACAATAAAAGGCCACTCTAAAAGGTACAGTTTTACTGTATTGTGGAGTCTGGGGGTTTTCAAAAACCAGTCAGTATCTCTTGTGACCACCATTTGCCTCACACAGTGCAACACATCTTCCTATCATAGAGTTGATCAGGTTGTTGATTGTGGTCTGTGGAATGTTGGTCCACTCCTCTTCAATGGCTGTGCAAAGTTGCTGGATATTGGCAGGACCTGAAGCACGCTGTTGAATACACATGCTCAATGGGTTACATGTCAGGTGAGTATGCTGGCCATGCAAGAACTGGGATGTTTTCAGCTTTCAGGAATTGTGTACAGATCCTTGCAAAATGGAGCCATGCATTATCATGCTGCAACATAAGGTGATGGTCATAAATGAATAGCACAACAATGGGCCTCAGGATCTCGTTGTCACGTATTCATCCGCTTATAGAAATGTGGTTAATGACATTTACTGTCCACACAGGAAAAGTTGTGCCGAGCAGCAACCTAATCCACAGAAGGGTTAATGCCGAGCACCAATTATGCAAATGAAACCTGGTAACTGACTTTGGGGTCAAAGGCCGGTTACAGCCGATCAGAACTAAAGGAGGGGTATTTAGGCCCAGTTCTCAGCCTGCTCTGTGCCCTGTCGTGGTTTCCCTTGTGGTTGTCCGAGAGCGCGTTCCTGTTTTCTACCTGGTTTTTGACTTTGGCTTTGTTTATTGACTTCTCTATATTCTGGTATCCTGACTCCTGGCTTTCCTCATCGCTGTGTCCCTTTCTGTGTTCCCTGACCTCGGCTAGTATTTTTGACTATTCTTTGTACGTTAAATCCGGCCATTCTAAGGACCGGTAATACGTTACTTAATTGTCATCCGTGCTGTACAGTTCTACGTACTGGATCAAACAGTAATCCTGACACTCGTCACTTTATCTCTGTGCATTCATTGTCCATAACATATGCCTGCCCATACCATAACCCCACCTCTACCATGGGCCACTCGATCCACAACGTTGACATCAGCAAACCACTTACCCACACGCCGCCATACATGCTGTCTGTCATCTGCTCAGTACAGTGAAAACCGGGATTCAACTGTGAGGAGAACAACTCTCCAAAGTGCAAGATGCCATCGAATGTGAGCATTTGTCCACTCAAGTCGGTTATGACGACAAACTGCACTCAGGCTGAGACCCCGATGAGGATGACGAGCATACAAATGAGCTTCCCTGAGACGGTTTCTGACAGTTTGTGCAGAAATTCTTTGGTTATGCAAACGGTTTGTTGTAGCAGCTGTCCGGGTGGCTGGTTTCAGACGATCTTGGAGGTGAAGATGCTGAATGTGGAGGTCCTCGGCTGTTGGGGTTACACGTGGTCTGTGGTTGTGAGGCCTGTTGGATGTACTGCCACATTCTCTGAAATGCCTTTGGAGATGGCCCGTATGGGCCGTACGACCAACTCACCCGTACAGCTAACTCACGATTGCAGCACTTCACGTGGGCGGCTCCCTTCCTACGGAATAGTCTACCGCCATCAGACTCTCCCCTAGTGTTCTATCATTTAAGAAGTGCCTTAAAACCCATCTCTTTAGGAAAGCTTATGGCCTCTGTGATCCTTGTTTGCAGGTAGCACGGTCCTCTAGGATAAACAAAAGGCACAGTCCTTGTAATTGCATATACTCCAGGCACTTTATTTGTAAATCCACACAGGATACACCAGTAAATGAAAACATAAATGTAACACAAAACCTTATAAACAAAAACCTAGCTCGTCTGAGCACTAACTGACATTAGGTTCCCTATCTCTCCGGGTTAAACTAAACAAAAGAATAGTGGTTTCACCAACCTAGAGTCTTTGTCCACTCTCAGCACTCCAGTATTTAGCCAGCCTGCTGCTTCCAGCCTTTCAGAGAGAAACAAAACATTCTCTCCCTACCTGCCTAGCAGGGAGGGATTTATTCCCACTGCTGCAGCCGATTACCTGCAGCTGAGCAGCAGGTTGGAGACAGTCCAAAACCCTGGGCTGGATCGATGTCTTCCAAGAAAACCGCTAAACTGCGGAGTGGAGCACTGGCCCACCCTGCTCTCCAAATGCTCCACCCCAGGGGCCCATAACTAAATATTCATTCTGGTTACATACACAGATACATACACTCCCCCTGGGGTTAAAAATCATATGCCTCTCTGAACAATTCTGTCGAGATATAGACTCCCTCACAGACCACCCCATTCACCTTATCACACCTCCCAGAGTAACCTCTACTTCACATACCTGTCTCTTGCTCTCTCCTAAAGGGCAGCACTTTACTCTCTCCTCCAGCTTTGCTTTACTCCCACCTTATTTGTTGCCATTTCCTGTCCTATTGTGCTTTACACCCTACCTCCTATAGAATGTAAGCTTGTTTGAGCAGGGTCCTCTTCAACCTATCGTTCCTGTAAGTTTTCTTGTAATTGTTCTATTTATAGATAAATCCCCCCTCTCATAATATTGTAAAGCGCTACGGAATCTGTTGGTGCTGTATAAATGGCGATAATAATAATGATAATGGCTTATGGTAGAGAAATGAACATTCAATTTACAGGTAACAGCTCTGGTGGACATTCCTGCAGTCAGCATGCCAATTGCACACTACCTCAAAACTTGTTAATAATTGTATTACTTTCTAAAAGTTTTCTTCACCATTTACTGTAACTGCTACACCTGGTGCTAAATGTATCTTTGAAGTCACACAAGATAAACATAACTTTTTTTTTTTTTATTAAGCATCTAATTCCTCTACTTCTGAGATAATTAGTAGTTATTTCAAGTACAAACGCTCTGTAAGGTTGACACAACGTAAACCAAAATCTCCTTCTTCATACAAACTTCAATATCTTTACATATAACACAAACAGAAAGGACTGCGATCAGTTTTGTCTGCAAGAAAGGGATTTCCAACAAACTGGCTGGAAACCAACACTTTGTCCCCACTCCAACAGAAAGTCAACAAACAAAATGAATGAGTGTCCCGGGTTTCCACAATGACCCACTCCAAAGGCTCGCTAACATGCAAAATCAAGAATCTCCAAAATCTGTACTGCATTTTTATTGGTTGACTGTTCACTCAGGCATGCTAAGTTTTCGCACATGTATGGAAAAGGAAGAAACCATAGTGCAGATCTTACAAATTAAAAGCACAATTTTAACACCAGATAAACAATGAATAAAAGCACATCTACACAATGGCAGGAGTTGCAGACAGACTAGGTTACCCCTCTCCTTTAATCTGCAATCCTGGGACTTGCTGGAATGTTTCTGGGGTCAGGTTTCGGCTCCCCCACATATCTCCATTCACCATCACTTATAAGGCGTGAATAGAGCAATGTAGTCATTGGAATTACTGTGGGAGGCACAGTGCCCCTACTGAGGAGAAGTGCTTGTACTTTAGTTATGAGCGACCATTTTGTTTTCTCTCACAGTAAGACAGGGTACTTTACTAATGAAACACCATTTTGTTGACTCACAGTAGGCCATTATACTGGTTTTGAGTAAGGAATGTCATCTATAAAGGTTTTGGATCCTTTGTGACTTAACATAGCACGATAACGATCATATGTCTAGAATGCAATTTAACCTGAGTTTTGTGTGCTGTTGGGAAGCAGATTAATAGTTCCGCCTAGAAGGCTCACGTTGGATTTTTGCCAGAGAATATAATTCATAATGTGTGTTAGTTTAAATTTATATATAACTTACATTGTAATAATTTCTTCATAATGATCCTCTTCTGTCTGCAGGCCCCCATTTTCTTCATTATAAAGGGCTACAAAAAGGAAAATAAGGATAGGTGATAGGGGGTGTACAATATACAACACAAAACATCAAACATCACATCCTTGGTGGTAACATAACATTATGGTGAAGTTTTTACAATATCTTGTGATCGGGTAGAGAAAAACACAATGTATATAGCAGAAGCTTAAGTTTTATGTTAAAGGACCAATATAGGCACCCAGACCACTTCAGCTTAATGAAGTAGTCTGGGTGCCAAGTCCCTCTAGGGTTAACCCTGCCTGCTGAAAACATAGCAGTTTCAGGGAAACTGCTATGTTTACTTTAGGGTTAATCCAGTCTCTAGTGGCTGTCTCATTGACAGCCGCTAGAGGCGCTTCCACGCTTCTCACTGTGATTGTCAATGCTTTCCTATGAGAATGCTTTCCTATGGACTGACTGAATGCGCGCGCGGCTCTTGCCGCGCATGCGCATTCAGCCGATGACGACCGAAGGAGGTGGAGAGAAAGGTAAGTGTTTAACCCCTTCCTCATGCTAGAGCCTGGCGGGAGGAGGACCATGAGGGTGGGGGGGGGGATCTAAAGACCATATAGTGCCAGGAAAACAAGTTTGTTTTCCTGGCACTATAGTGGTCCTTTAAGTTTTCGGGATGTACATGTACATTACTGGTTCTCAGAAACCCTATCGAGTGGTGATCAACAATAGTCCATTAAGCATTTAAGTAACTCTTTCTTAGTTTATACAAGGGGTCGCGCACCCCGGGTAAGCGGGAGGGGGGAACAGGGTGACTAAAGGGGGAGAAAAAGAATAAGAAAGTAATAAGAAAATAGAATACATTCCAAAGGGAATGGACCGACCATTAAAGAGTATATTTCAGCTTAAGTCATCTGTGTCTTATTAGTAGTTATTCACAAACGGAGGGTACCACACTCACACTTAGGAATCCAGGTGCTTATCAGGGCCAGCCTTGGCAAAACCCAGTTTAGTACATAAAATAAATTAGGTCCAGGCACTCAGGATTGCTGCAGGAAGGCAGATTTATTGGAACAAAAAGTGCACCATTTTGGCCTACACAGCAGCCTTTATCAAGCTTCTTTGGTGAGTAGAGAGGTCAGGCACGATTCAATGCTTTCATAGGTAGTGTATTGTGGGCCACTTAGATTTCTCTGGCCAACTTGGTGAACTTGGACTGCAGAAAAGCTTGAAGCTCGTGGATTATCCTCTGGATGAAGGATTCTGAGGCTGGGTTAGTATTGAGGACTGAGATGGAGATTACGTTGCTCCTTTCAGAGCATGAAGTCGGAGAACTTGGTGTGCTGGCGCCATCTTGGGTGCGCTTCTGTGGTGAAGACAGTGCTGAAATCTGCAAATTGTCAGCTTTTAATGTGTGCTTTTTGCTGGATTGATGTGCCATGGTGTGGCAGGGATTTTCCAACAGGATTTGGTAATTATTTGTTTCATTTGTACCAGTTTAATCGCTATATATAGAATTCCTCAGAGGAGCTAAACGCTCACACGTCCATTAAAATTAGCAGTCAGGCCACGCCCCTCTCAAGCCCCCATTTTTTAAGGACCCTCCCTTTTATTTTCAGAGAACACAATCTGTGTTTGATTGGATCATTTTGGCCCTGTGTTTGCCACCTGTCATGTCGCAGTCTAATCCTTTACCTTATCCATATTGAATGATTTATCAAATCAATATACCCCAGTGAATCCCATGCATGTCCTGTTACCCTATATAAACATATCTACCTGCACACTGCCTTATAGTATAAAACTGTGAAATATGGAAGATCTTGCTAGAAGGATGATGACAACAGAATCTTACAAAATCCTCTTGCCCATGAGCAACCTCCCTACTACAGACCCTTATCCCCCAACTACTGCCCTTGTAATCAAACAGCAGCCCCTGTCCCCTCACTGCCCTTATCACTGATAGAGCTTCCAACCCTCCTACTATGGTCCCTTACCCTCTTACAGCCCATACCCCTCACTACCCTACCCCTAAATGTAGCCCTTATCCCCCACTATGGTCCCCCCCACTACAGCCAATGTTAGCACCTATCCCCCCACTACAGCCACTATCCCCCATTACAGCTGCTATCACCCACACTACAGTCCCTATTCCCCCTTACAATCCCTATTCACCCACTCGCAGCCTCTACCCATGGACTTGTAGCCACTATCACCTACTACAGCCCCTAACATATTCGATATCCCTTATCCCCTAATATACCCCATATCCCCTAATACAGCCCTTATTCACTTACTACAGTCCCTACCCCGAACTACAGTCCCAATTCCCCCAATTACACCCTTTCTTTCCCTAATTGCAGCCCATATACCCCACACTACAGCATCTGTCCTCATTTGCAGCCATTGCCCTCTACTTTAGTCCCTAGCACCCCTACTACAACCCTTATCCCCCCACTACATTTGCTACCCACCAATTACAGGTCCAATCCTGCACTATAGCCACTAACCCTCCTACCATAGACCCCAACTCCTCAATTACAGCCCCTGTTTCCCCACTACAGACCCTGTCCCCCATTACATGCCTTGTTATCCCACTGCAGCACACTACCAGTGCCCTTCTGAGATTAGGTTTCGGATCTGCACCGATAAGCTATTTGTGCACAAATGTGGCACTAGTAAGCTATTTGGGCACAACAATGGCACTGACTGGCTATTTGGGCAAAACTGGCACTGTAGGAAGTAAGTGACATGTTACCTGGTGAAGTTGGGAGCCCAAAGATGTGGAATAGTTTCCATAGAAAATGGGTGTCGCTAGAAGTGTTATGTTTGAGAAGGAGATGAGTTAGTGACATAGCCATGCCCACCCGGGAGTGGGGGGAGTGGGAGGGGGGCAAAAATATACTTGCACTCAGGCATTAGTGTCTATAGGAAAGACCCTGCATTCAGACACTAACAATATGGAGCTCCTAGAAAAGAGGGACATTAGGAGAGAGAAAAGGGGCAGAGGAATTTGAGCTCAAAATAGGGACTGTCCCTCCTAAACAGGGACACATCGGAGGTATACAAGAGGGTTAATATAACATGGTGTGTAGGAATCTCAAGTGATGTGTTAAATGTGACAATGATACATCTTGTATCGTTGCTAGGAAAATGATGGCTGTTACAACCAATCACATAACTAACTACATTACTAATTACTAATTACTGTTCACCAACAATTTATACAGCAAAGTAGTCACTGGCAGTACTGTGAGAGGCATAGAGCTACCTGCTTGTAAATGTACATTTTTATAAGTATAATTATATATCTAATAACAGAATGGAAGATCCATTGTTTGTGAGGGGGTCAATGAGAAAGGTGTGAACGATCATGGACAAGAGATAAGTAGAGCAGTTAAAAGTGGAGAAATTAATAGGAGAGTAATGGGATTAACCAAGTGGGATTTTAAAGTGGTAATACGGGCAAGCGCAAGTCGTATGGAGAGCATACTGCAGTAATCGAGACTAGAGATAGGATAAGTGAGGAGTGATAAAGAGGCCAGAGTGAAATATTACCCCAAAGTAGAGCCTGGATTGATGGTAATGAGCTGTCCAAAGGGAGAATCTCAGAAGAGATTTTATGTATGAAGAAGAAAAGGCAAGAAGTTGTGTTTTCATTGACTGTCACAATGTATGCCGTTATCCAGCCTGAAATAGAAGAGGGGCAGTTGGTGGCAAAATCTAAAAGAGAGATCAGCAGTAAGGGGGTATCTGGATATGGAGAACATATACCGGATACCATAAGATACTATTACATTGCCAAGATAGGGAAAACTCTACCCAAATTAAAGAGTTACTGGAGAGGAATTCCTCCAAAATGGACTTTAAGTTCTTTGAAAGTAGCACTCTGACTTTGGGTGGATATGGAACCTGTCCATTTATTAGAATGTATGATGCCCAAACACGACAAATGTATTAATCACAAAATGTCAAGTACTTGTAACATTCACATTTATTTTAAAAGAGAGTCTAGCAGTGTGGTTTGTACAAAACCAATAGCAATAGTTTTATGTGATTTTATAACCTGTATAAAGCTATCTCCATAATTTGGTTATTTAAGAACATTTATGAAAACTACATTAACAAATATACATGCAGCTGAAGTTTCAGTTAAACTGAAGTACATATAAGCACTTATACCACTCATTGCTGTGAGTTTCACTGCTATGGAGCTCTGTGATACACTCATACACACATAACATTAATGTGAGTTTTATTGCTGTGGAGCTGTCCTACACACTATACATTACTGTGAGTTTTTGTTGCTGTGGAGCTCTCCTACACACAATACACATTACTGTCAGATTTATTACTATGGAGCTCTGTGATACACTTGTACACACTGCACATTACTGTCAGTTGTAGTGAAAGGCATGCCTCCCAACTGACCTGGTTTCAGGCGCACAGTCCTGATTTCAGGATCCTGAAATCCAAGTTCCATGGTGTCTTGCAATTCCTTCTTGATTTTGAGTAGCACAGCGTGAGCGCATGCTTAGACATACTCACTCTGTGTGGAGGGTACTAGAACAATGCAGAGAGGCTGCTTGGCGATGCCCTCTCAGAAGGCCCCTCCCCTGATTCCAGACAGTGCAAAGTTGTGAACTATGAATATGGAGAACTGTAACATATTGATAAACACTTTCTGGGTCTAAAAATGGAAATTCACTTTGAATATCTGACCATTCCCACTTTGGTGAATCACCCGTCTAGTTTACAGTTCACCGCAATTATTATTATTATTGCCATTTATATAGCGCCAACAGATTCCGTAGCGCTTTACAATATTATGAGACAGCTTACAGGAACAATAGCTTGAAGAGGACCCTGCTCAAACGAGCTTACAGTCTATAGGAGGTGGGGTATTAGAAACATTAGGACAGGAAATATCAAATAGGGTGGGAGTGAATTCACAGTTTAGTGAATAAAGCACAATATATCTCTATTGTATGGACTCACATCATATTATTCAACACCTACCACACTCTTTATAGTAAATATTCTGTATACATTTTGTATCAGGAAGTAGGAGTTGTTTTTTTTAACTCTGACACATCTAAAGCTGAAAGTGAAAGTATTTCTAATTTTCTTGCTGAGCTCTGTAGGGTGTAGTTATGTGAAGTTAAAGGTCACAGTGAAACCCAGTGTATCTGTGGGATCTGGGCACCCGAACCCACCATGGGGAAAACAACGGAACCGAGGAGGCATAATGTCTGTCTGTCTGTGTTTGGCTGTCTAACCTGCATTTTCTTCTTCCAGAGTTTAGGTAAGCAGGGGAAGTTATAAAGGGGGAGGACTGGAGATCTCATCTCTAACTAATTTCAGAGGGCCTTGGTTTATAGATTGATCTGACATAATTTCCAAATGTATTAAATACACATACATGGTAATTGTCCTGGATTTTTAGATTATGTATCTAGAATGGTTTATCTGTCTCCAGAGCTGGGACTTTATTCCATAACTCATAGAACATTATCTGGATTTGAAGAGTATGGATTAACCCTTGAAAAAGCACTGTCACCATCTGGGGACTTTTGCAGAATTTGCAAAAACACTGACGTGACATTGCAGCAGGGAGTAAGTACAGTGACAGGGTAAACCAGTAACAAACTGTGTCATATTCTAAAAGATACAATAACAGCTTTTCACAATAGTGAATGCAAAATTATGTGATCAGAAAGGGCAATGATTATCAATATTTGTTTATTGTACTTTTTTCTTTTCATTATTGTCTGCCAAAAAGTTGCAATCTTTATTATTATTATAAAAAAATATTTGAAAAGAAAGGGCAGTGACGTGCTTTAAACAGTTACCTAATTTGGGGTAACTATGGATACTGACCGTATCCCCAGTGGTCATCCTGTTACATATTGTTTTCTTTGAAATAGTGTTTCTTGTAATAAGTGGCATGTATCCTCTGCAAAATAAAGGAAAATCCAGACAAATTAGGTATTTTAGACACAAAAAGGAGGAACTGCAGTGTGAGAGTGGGAGGAGCAGGAATAGTGGACTTACTCAGCCAAGTTAAGTAATCAATAGAAAGTATAAGTGGTAAATAAAAATTATTTTAAAAAAATTATGAAAAAACAAAACCCTAAAAAAAACAAGCTACATAACCAACAATTACCTAACCTGTACATTGCTCCTCATATTACTGAAATGTTGCTGTGTTAAATTCTCCAAGGTAGCATTATCTAAAGAACTTTTGAACACATGCTGAAGGTCCTTAGGAATATAGTTGAGAGGGTGTAGTTAAACACCTTGTGAAGAGATAGATAAAAGTGTCGTGAAAAAAATACAGCAATTGCAAGGTGCTTAGACCTCGTTTTAATTAGAGCCAATTTTTTTGTCTGTTTATTTTCTCTTGCTAAGCCATTTAACGGTCTGCAACAATTAAATTACTCCTGTCATTAAAAGCCAATAAATGTTGATTACAAAACCTA